GTGACCTACTGGGATCCTTCATTTTCTTCCAATGTAAGAAGTCTCATAGCATGTGTGTCTAGGGAAGTTGTACAGGCAAGAGAAAAGAGAGATAAGCACCAGGAGGTGTTAGCACTTCCACAGCATGATTTGGGACAGACTTGCTGATCTCTAGCAAAACAGTGCCTGGCTGGGTGTGGTAAGGAGATGCAAGGTCCAAGAAGGACCTCTGCAAAACTGGGATGTATGGGGCCTACTGTTGCAGAATTCAGAGATGGCAGGAGCAGTAATCTGTTCTTTTCCTTCTGGAGAAGCAGCATGGACAACCCCATATGTAGAGTGAGCAATGTAGAGTACACTGAAATCTGCAAACCATGGTCCAAGATGTCCCTAGTCCTGGTGACACCAGCACCATCTAGCAAACCAATGATTAAAGAGGATCCAAGGACCTGTTAAAAATGAGATTTCAATGTGCATCTCCAGCGGACGCTGCAGTTAGAATGCAGCACCTTAGGCTCCTTGGCTACCTGATAGCTCACTGCCTGCCGCTGCAGACAAGGTGATGGACTAGGTGGAGCTACAGCACAGCCTTATTCCAATTCTTACAGTCACATGTATAGACATGGTGTGATCTCTTGCTCCCTCTTTCGCTTAAAGGCAATTCCTAAACTCCCAGACCAACAGTATCTAAAGAGACTTCTGATTTTGGATACCTCCATTTTGGGTCTGTACCTTGGGTCACATTTCAATGTGAGCATGCTTAATTCCTGTTTTGACAAACAGGGCGGGCACATCTCAAACGGCGCACTCCAAAATCCAGGCGTTTCAGAGGAGTGGTTGGTTGTGTGTAATTAATTGGGTGTTATTTACTGAGCTGGCAGCTGCAGACAGTCTGTAACACAAAGCTCTGCACCGCCCAGCAGGTCACAGTTCCAGTGTATTCATTTCTCAGTATTTCTGGATTGCCACTGTTTAAACAACAAAGGCAGTCCCTGACCCAGTATCTGCCATGAAGCGGCAGAGAAGAGAATTTTGTCCTTAAACTTTCCTCACTCCAGTTTGTGAGTAATCCGCATACCTCTCATTAGCTGAAACCTGGAAAGTCTCAGTTGCTTTTTCTTGTTGGTGTGGTGAGTGTCAAGATCTGATCATGGCAGGAGCGTAAATGCTGTGACTGCAGCTCTACTGGGCCCCTTAAAATACATGACTACTCTGTATTTATGGCTGTGGATTCTTCTGTCACTGTTCCTTTGGCTGACATTGCCATGTTACATACAGTATATTATTTAAAACACAGTTGTTGACTGAAACATAAAAGGTTTCCTGGCTTGTCAGCTGAATGAACTAAAGCAGACAGTTATTTGTGCACAGGAGATTAATAATAATAAAAATAAATAAACAAGCCCTCTTGCCAAAGGCTTCACAACAGACATCAGGCACATGGATGGACCTTATTCAAAACAGGCACTTAAATGCAATGGAACAAATGGTATTTGATAATCAAATCCCACATATAGAAAAATCGCTGCCTTGATAAAAATTCTAAATGGTGTTTTGACACCTCTGTCTTAACCTTTGATCCTTCATTGTGGAGAGCTCTGTACTCCATATAGAAACCTAAGGTTTTGGTTTTTTCTTAGATGTTGCACTTCCTGATGAACGCTCATACTCAGGGGAAAATACATGAAATGAGAAGCAATCTTTCATATCTTTTGCATTCATGTGCTGAAGTAAAAAAATCAGAAAAATCCACTACCCAAGTATCTGAGAGATGTACCTCGCTCAAGGAAACAGGATATGACTCCGCAAACAGCATTCTCAAGGCTCTATCAACACTGAAAAAAATATAGTCTTGACTTTTTAACCTTATCCTATGAATCCTTCCCACATCTTTGTGCTTCTAGCCTCATTTCCCACAGAGAATGAAATTTCTGTGATCATGCCATCTGGCTGTCTGTCAGCCAGTATGTTCTGAACCTGCTTTCTATCAAACTGACAGAGGGATCTGGGCTCAAAGAGAATTAAGTGCCTATGAAATTCATGGAAATCAGCAGCTAGGTCAAAGATGAAGATCCAAAAGAGTGTCCTTGCTAAGGAAAAGGTAGGCAGAATGCAGCCGTTTTACACACTGCTTGCTAATGTCAGTCATCACGTGTGTGGCTCTGGACTCATCAGAGCAGATGGTGTTTCTTCCTCAGTGAGACTGAGGGCTTATGGTTGGTGTAGTGAGTGGTACAGGAGGGAAAGAGAAGGCAGTAGGACACACCTGTAGGAAAGCAGGTCTCATTAGGTCCACAGAACAATGCATTTAATGATAAACTGCCACTTATGCACGTAACTGTGCAGCTCCTGCAGTTCCTGAGGGCCTGCAAAGATGTGGATCTGTTTCTCATGGAGAAAGCTGACAGGCAATCACTGCCTCTTCACTCCCACACCTGAATCCATGCTGCAGAGTTCCCATTACACCTGTAGGAAAGCAGGTCTCATTAGGTCCACAGAACAATGCATTTAATGATAAACTGCCACTTATGCACGTAACTGTGCAGCTCCTGCAGTTCCTGAGGGCCTGCAAAGATGTGGATCTGTTTCTCATGGAGAAAGCTGACAGGCAATCACTGCCTCTTCACTCCCACACCTGAATCCATGCTGCAGAGTTCCCATTGCTTCCACTGCTCAGGACAGAAGTGAAACTCAAAGCAGATTCCAGGGCTCTGGAGACAACAGACTTGTTCTTTGAAACCATAGAAAGGGTATTAAAAGTTAGGACAGAAAGTACAACCCGGTTCAAAGTTTCCCTAATGAAAAAAATTCCAACTGGGGAAAGTTTAGAAACATAATTGCTTCTCCTCCTCTAGCAAAGGGAGTTTCAGTTTTTTATTTTATATCTTGCTCTCCTGCTTCACATAGTGTGCTGTGGAGCAGCAAGCTGAGCTTGCAAATACTTCTAGAGGAAAAGGACTGTTTTCCTTGAAGCAATGCCTATCCTAGAGGGAAAACCCATGTGTTAAGAGCCTTAACTAATGTATTTTAACTAACTGAGGAAGAATGTTGTTTAACATCAACTTGGCAAGCATGTGTGGCATATATACTTCCCAGATCAAGCTGAAGCCTGACCCTTGATGCTTAGTTTCAGTGCGCTTCTGTGTGGGCAAACTTGTGACCCCAGCATTAGGCATGACACAGACCCTCCAGACTACATCTGGTCGGACCATTTTGGGAAGGATTGCTGTGGGCTGACCCACAGCAGAGGCAGAAACTTACTGTGGTTTACTCACTGGGGGTTTCTCCACAACAAAAAGAGAGGTAGAGAAGGTTCTTGCCTCTCGATGGGTTTATGAATGGTGAATACATAGCTCTGCAGGACTTACAGAAAGAAACACTTGAGTGAACGCTGAGTGCCCTTGCTGTAGCTGGGTTTGATGTGTGACTGAATCATGGGGGCAGAAAAGTAATAATTTTAGTGAAGAACAAATATGAAATATATTAACTGAAGCCTTTTTCTCTCCAAGATTTCCTTCATCAACCCCCACCTCACTTCTGTCTTCTCAAGGACTCTATTATTTCACACAGGAGAAAGAAAAGAGAGTTCTGGATTTTCTCTCACTCACAAGAGATCCACTGGGATTCACATTGTTCTTGCACCTTCTAAGTAATTGACTGAGATCCTTGAAACCAGAAAACACAAACTGAGAAATAAAGCTTAGAGCCTGTTATATTTATTTTGATGATCAATGAAGATAGAAGCAAAAAGCTTTAACAATAAGCAGGTTATTTCAACAGCAAGGCCACCAGTGAAATTGCTGTCTGATTTCCCTCACAGGGCAGGTTGGAGTTTCCGAAAGTGTTACCCACCCACAGCGTTTACCCATCTGAGTTGGACTTTTGCATGATGAGGACTTGTCAAACTGACTTCTCACAATGTTTCTAGAGGTGATTTGTCTTTAGGGTGCTCAGACTGAAGTGGCTTCTAGACCCTTGGTTTTCAAAAGGGACTGACCATACACCCTCCACCCACCAAATCTCAAGACCCCCTTTCCTAAATGGCTTCTTTCCATCATGATCTCAGTAGCCTAAATACAACAGACACAACTGTTTTCCAAAAATAACATCAGCAACTTTCAGTTTCAGGATTTGTAAATGCTTCTGTGATTGACCTCGGACTTCCTCAAAAATTCTCCAAGGGGAAACAGCTCTCACAGATCACAAAGAAAGGACTTCCCCCTTCCCCTCCCCAGATATGTAGAGGGGATGTCCAAATGGTTCCTTTTCTGGGAGCTGTCTTGACTTTTATTCCATGAAGAAATTTTCCAGTGTATCATTTGGTAAAATTATGTCGCTCCCAGATCCCCTTGCTTGTCTTGAAAATGACAAAATATGCTGAGATGCTGTTTTACATCGTTTGCCTACATGTGGAGTTAAATGTGCAACACTACAGAAATCTAGTTTGTACTGCTCAGCCTCACTGAAAATT